AAAAACTTTGTTCAAAATTTTGCCCGGACACTGCCTTTGAGGCTTAAGTTAGCGAAAGAGCGCTAGTCAATTTGAAATAACATGAATCGTCCTATCTACTACTTTGAGCAGGCGTTACATTTGCTTTCCAAAGCAATCATGGGAAACAGTTGAAGCTTTCATTATTAGATAGTCTACTTTTCTTTGAAGAAGAAGTTTGGTGACTCTTTCCTTTCGACAGAAGACTATATGGAAGTACAGGAATGCAAAAAAGAGAATTGCGAAGACTCTGAACAATCTATGACTAAGCACCATCCGCGGCATATCGTTACGGTTGCACTATGCGGGGCTGTTGCCCTCATCGGCCCGTATGTGGACAAAATCAAAGAAATGAAGTGATTGTTATTCAGCTGGTCGTGAGCATGAATTGAATGTGATTCATTTATTACTCTTCTTACTTTTACTCTGGCCGTTTCAACAAATGCATGCGAATGAAAACTTCAAAGCTTTTCCTACTGGAAAGGTGCGTTCTCGTAGTAATCCTACCAAAGGATGCTATTACTAGAAACTGATGCAGATTGTTGGAGGACGATGGAGAGTTATTGGGAAGCTGGGCGAGGGTGGTATGGGAGCTGTATATAAAGTGGAAGACAAAAATCGCAAAAACTTTTTCGCCGCAATGAAAGTTAGTCATGATAATGCTTTGCAGATTTATTTGACTATTTTAGGTCGAAGATGATTCATATGAAGGCGGCGTACTAAAATTAGAAGTGTTCATCCTCAAAAAGCTGCAGACAATGAGGGATACTGTAAAATTGTATGATTCTGGAAAACGAGACAAATATTGGTAACTAAAGAAATCGTGGGCGCGGCATCATACCTTCACAATATTTCAAAATTTTGCAGTTTTATGGTCATGACTCTTTGTGGCAAAGATTTAATGACTCTCAAAAGATTATCAGCCAGGCCGTTTTCGGAGTCAACTACACTTCGTTTAGCTATAAGCACTCTGTACGCCATAAAACAGGTAATTTTAGTAAAGAATCGGCATTAGGTTGTCGCCAAAGTTATGTGATAATAAACTGATGACGAGATACTATCAAGCCTGTTTCGCCTGTCCCACCAAACACATGCCCAGACAACTGGCCGGAACTTCTGCAAAACGTTTGGGAAAGTTTCGCCGGTCACCTGGAGAAGTTTCGAGAAGTGCTGCGGAAGCTCCCAAATAAGGTGCTGCGTAAGTTCCGAAAAACGCCAACTACAACAACGAGAAGACCTAAGCGAGATTGCTTACCCTGTTAACTCCGAGACTCACCCACTATCCTTTGCACTACGGATAACATTTTCGAGAAATTAGTACAGTTGTTGGCGAGACAACATCGTAAGAGACAACACATTTGAAGTCCTGCGGAAGTATTGGCAAGCCAAAGTGCAGCGGAACCACTGGCATTTTTCGGAATTCCCGCAGCGCTTTATGAGAAGTCTGGCGGAAGCTCCAGTTTGGATCTAGTATGGCATGAAAATCTTGAGGAAGTTCCCATTAATGATTTGACGTTTGTCTCAGAGAAACGTGGTGATTTGTTACACTCTCAAACCACTAGAAGCCAGTCTTGAGATGCATTCATTTACACCATACTTGTAAAGCTTGAACTTCTTCAACAAAGCCGAGTTCATAAAACGTTTTGAGAGTAATTTTTAGCAAATACTGCAGTCAGGGTGACCAGGTTAATATGCATATTGAACCGGTAACAATTGAAGTTTTGACATAGAATGAAGCAAGTGTGCACATAGTTGGCCTTGTACATCTTAGGATGTTCACACAGTTTGATACCACTTGTCCAAGAATTTTCATGGCCATTTCCAGAAAAGATTCGTTTGGTTAATTCTCCCTTCTTTTACCGTACTTTTATGGACTAGGGAATAAGGACATGACTCGCCGCATAAATGGCTCATGTTCCAATCTTCAACATAATCTATTTACTGCTGTGGTAGGCAGCACACGCTTTCCCGTTCAGTAAGCACGCTCAGAGGGGTCGCTGGTCTGACAGCACCTCGTACGCAGCAAAAAGATTATTCCTGTCCCCTGATACCAGAATTCAGCAGCTCCTTTCCAACGAAAAGTAATATTCAGGTCAAGTTCAAGCAGACGCATACCTTGAAAACGTTTTGAACGCGAGGTTAAGAGAAAAGCTAAACTAGAATAATTCAAATAAGCTTAACATTCGAATCTACTGTGAACATGCGTTAAAGAGGTTTTGAGATACAGTAAGCATGACTGCGGGATTTTTGCTAGAAGAAGTTTCGTACTCTCTTTTATGACTTAAAACAAAGCATGCTTCGTCAGATTCCACGCACCTATAACCATCCTCACTACCACAGGTGCATGAAATTGGTTACGTCCATCGTGATATCAAGCCAGGAAATTGCATGATCGGCAAGTACGGAAGGGATACTAGAATGATATACTTGATTGATTTTGGTAAATTATTTTTCCAAAGATACATTTTGCTGTAATCTTTACAAAGGTATGGCCCGATCTTTCGTTGCCAAGGATTTAACTACTGGTCAGTTAGCTATACGTAAACCTCGAGAAGGCGAACAGCTGTTTCGTGGTACACCTAGATACTGCAGTTTAAATACTCACCACAGAAAAGAGCAGGTTTTGTTCTAGTTTTTGCTAAAAGATACAATCTGTTATTTGCTGGACATCATAGGGACGGGTTGACGACCTTTGGTCATGGCTCTACATGCTCGTTGAACTTCATGTCGGATTACCATGGAATCGCCTTGTAGACGAAAAGGAAATATATGCAAGAAAGTCACAGTGTACGCCGAAACAGTTATTTCGGGTGAGATTCGTTTAGAACAGGTCTTCGCTCGTATTTTTTCAAAAAGATCTGTACACTGTTTGTGCACGTAAACGGCTTTCCTCATGCACCCCTCAAACCGTTTTTCAATTTTTGGCACTGGCCTCACTTGTACCTACCGCTAACAGAAGCTGATCCTAAACCTGTTCTCACTATCTGTCGAACAGGCCTCGTTGTCAAAAAGAAACTATAAGCTGCCGCGAGCATGTTAAGGCTTGTTAGGGTTCTAGTGAATACAAGGGATGGCGTGGTGGTTGGAGAATTATACTGCATACTGCAGACATTACAAACTTGTAGCAGCTTCTGCCCGGATGGAGCCTATCGGCGACTATGCTCCCCTTCCCTGCGCATTGGGCAAGGTCATGATTTTGGGGATGCCCGGTTTTCAATCACCTGTTCTTTGCGTTATCTGTCCTAAATCCTACCTTAGTGCAGACTGTTTTCAAAACGCTGTGGGCACATAACACCAAATTTTGGGGCATTCGAAGGAATGAGTAAGATTTCAAAGCGTCTGCGTAGTTTGTACTGCAGTAGATACCTAACATTCAAACGATCTTATTCAGCTTTTATATCTGAAGTGATAAAAAACGTATCTCTAGTTTGGCAAGCGCAATACTGGGTTTCTCACACGTACAAAGACAGTGGCTCGGCAAAACTCAACCTAGGTAGCTAGGTAGCTTAAAAACGGCGAAAATGAGCATTTTCCAATGCCTTTCGTTTTAAGATTGGTCAAGTGGAGCAAGGCTGATTACGCTGAATCGTTGCGGGACCTAATAGTTATAGCATTGCG